AGGACTGAGTAGTAAACCTTGTCTGGAGGTAAAAGACTCAGGAGGGTATATGGGTTAGGCACAGTAGGGTGGATAGATTCAACCCTTTTGTTTACCTCCCGCAAATCCTGAACTGGCCTATAATCTTCCGTTCCCGGTTTCTTCACGGGCAACAATGGGGTGTTCCAGGGGGACTGACACGGAATTAAAATGCCTGCATCTCTCAGCCTCTTAATATGTTTGGCAATCCCTTCCTTGGCCTTTTGGGGAATTGGGTATTGTCTGACTTGAATGGGAGTAGCAGTGCTGGCCAATTGCACAATGATAGGGGGCTGGTGAGAGGCTAGCCCCGGTGGGTTTGTTTCAGCCCAAACTTCAGGGATCTGTATGGCTAATTTAGTCAAGACATCCTGTGAGTTACTTTCCCCAGTGGGAGGTGACATTTCCTCTTGAAGGAGATATTCCTCAGAGAGGGGTACTGTAACCATGATAGTGGAAGGTTGTTGGTTCCCTAAGCTTAGAGTTGTGCTATTGTCTTGAAAAGTTATAGTTGCTTTCAGCTTTCGCAGCAGGTCTCTGCCAAGCAATGGGTAGGGGCAGTCGGGCATTACAAGGAAGGAGTGAGTGATAGTGCCCTTCCCAAGATCAGTGATTCTGGCTTTAGTCCATGGGTATGCTTTTGGCTTTCCTGTTGCCCCTATAATCGATGTCTTTTGGGAGAAGAGCTTTCCAGAGGCCTGCTGCAGGACCGAATAGGTGGCCCCCGTGTCGACAAGGAAGTCAGTTTGTTTTCCCTCGACCGTCAGGGTTAACATGGGTTCCTGGGGGCCTAAATTGATGGAACCCTGACCCCCCTAATCTTCCTCAGTCTCTAGGAGTAAGCGTGCAGGGGTTTCTTGTGCTTTTCTTGCCATTAGCTTGGGGCAATCTTTCTTCCAGCGTCCCATAGCCTTGCAGAAGGCGCATTGATTTTTCTTAAGTTGGGGTCTATCTTTAGATGGTTCTTTATTCCCTTATAGGTGGCTAGTGGTCCCTTGTTAGGGGTTGCCAGCAAGATTTGAGACAGTTGCCTAGTTTGCTTCTTAATGGGATCCTCCCAGTTCTGAAAAACTTTCTGAGCTATTTCAAGTAACTTATTTCTATTTTTTCCCTCAAAGCCTTCTAATTTCTGCAGTTTTTTTCTGATGTCTGGGGTTGACTGTGAGACGAAGGCCATGTTGACCATCCGTCTATTCCCATCTGCATCCGGGTCTAAGGGGGTATAAGTTCTGTAGGCCTCTAATAATCTTTCTAAAAAGGCCGTGGGAGATTCGTCCTTCCCTTGCATAGTGGCTGCTACTTTTGCTAAATTGGTGGGTTTCTTAGCAGCACCCCTTAGACCCCTGAGGAGGTTTCGGTGATAAGTGCGTAACCTCTGCATCCCTCCCCAGTGTTTGGATCCCATTCTGGGGGTCGTTGAGGCAGTTCATCATCTAAGCCCTCGGGGCCAGCATCATCCCCGACCACAGCCTTGACTGCCTCAGCGCGTATCCTCTCCCTCTCCTCTGAGGTGAACAAAGTTTGTAAAATCTGTTGACAATCGTCCCAAGTGGGTTGGTGGGTCTGGAATACAGACTCCAATAAACTTATCAGAGCTTGTGGTTGCTCCGAGAAAGGGGGGTTTTGTTGTTTCCAATTATATAAATCGCTAGTTGAAAAAGGGACATAGATCATACGCACCGGGCCCATAGTGCCGGGCGCAACGGGCACCTCTCGTAATGGGAGCATTGGGACTGAGGTGTCCGGTTCCCGGGCCGGTTGATAAGGGGTGCCGTCCCGTGTATGTGAGGGACTCAAAAGTCTGGCATTGGCAGCCGGGCCTGGGGCTCTTGCCTGAGGCTCGGCTGAGGGTGCCGTCGCCTTCCCTCCCAAGGCGTTTCCTGCATAGGGCGGGGGCGTCATTACTTCCAGGAGCGATTCCTCAGGATCCCCTGGGGGGACCGGATATATCCTGGGTTTGGGTGCTTTCCCAGGGGGTTCTGGTTGGCTCTCCTTGGTTGCCCCCGCGGTCGCTCCTTTGGGGCTGCAATCATGATGGTATGCTTTCCTACCTTAGCTTTCATTCCCTTTTGGGGCTCCTCCCTTCCGCATTTTGTTATATAGGGAGGCTTGTCTAATACTATGTGAATCCAGACATCTATATATACCCGTTGATCTGGGTGAGGGACCCTATAAACAACCGAACGCACGGCGAAGAGGAGGTTAGGGTCAAAACTCCCCTCCGAGGGCCATTCCACCCCAAAGGCTGGCCACTCTAGTTCACATAGCGTCCTCAGGAAGCCGGGGTCTGCTGGCTTCCCATAATTACAGGACCTTTTGAGAAAATCGGAAAAGTTAGAGAGCAGACATTCAAGGGGGGTCGGTTTCCTGGATGGTCCTTGGTCCATGGCGTCCCTCCTGAAAGTGAAACAGTTAGAGCAGAAAGAGAGGTTGAACATACAAGAACACGAAATCAGAAGACAAACAAGAACAATCACTGAGACTAGTCTCACACCCTCACAGAACACACACACCTTCAAAGTGAAGCACCTAGGCTTCCAAAATCAGAAGTCAGCGTCCTGACTCTGATTAGAGGCAGACAGTGCGCGGCGTCCCGCCTGTACAGCCTCACCAAATGCTCCGGAGCCAAAGACACAAAGAAACAAATGGATCGATCCACTTACCAAAACCACGTGGTGCAAAGTCCCTAAGCCGAATCTGGCCGCAGTCAGAAGATCAAATTTGTAGAGGCGAGGATGGAGGCGCCTCGCCTTGTGCCTGAGGAGGTCGACCCCTCTCAGAGGGGGACCTCGAGGTGATCTCGCTGGGGCCTCCAAATGTTGTAACCCAGGAGATCGACCAAACTCAGACGCCGAGATGGGGTTTAACAAAAGGAGTTTATTGAGCTAAGTCCGCAGGCCTGCAGTGTGTCCCACACAGGAGTAACTGCGGCGGCGGAGAGCTAAAATGGCTCCTTTTTATAGGATTTTGTGAGGGGGGTTGCTACGTGTAAGCAAGCATGTTACAGAAGCGGAATTTAGCAGTTAGTTAATTACCTGTTACTCAGTTTCCCAGACATCTCAAAGGTCAAGATGTTTTCAATAGATCATCCCTGGCGCCGACCCCAGGATTCCTCAAGGGTTAGTGTTTACTTAGGGATTAGCTAGTGAAGAATGTTCTTCAGTAAATGAGTAAACTGACAACCCCTTTGGTTGTCATGACAGCCTCTGGGAGTTTGGGTCAATGGCACTGAGTTATAACAGGAGTGTTTAGTCCATTTATGTTTAATGCAGTACTAATATGTTTGTGCTTAGTCTACTACAAGACCAGGCAAACTTATAGCCTACAGGTTAAATCTGGCTCATGTCCTGTTTTGTTTTTTAAATTGCCGCTTGCAACCACTAGTCTACTTTCTGTTTCTATGCGTTTGGATACTTTAGATACCAAACTCATAGAAACAGAAAGATACCTCATATAAGTGGAATCATGAAATATCTATCCTTCTGTGACTGGCTTATTTCCTTTAGCATAATGTTTTCAAGGCTCATCCGTGTTATAGCATCTGACAGAATTTCCTTTTTTATGACTAAATGATATTCCACTGTATGTATGTACCATTCATTAGAAGAACTCTGGGTATTTATTTGCCCAAACAGACATTTATTGAATGCCTGGATATGATATGGCAAGTAGGATGTGGGAACAAGCAATAAAAAGACTTAGTAGTTGATCTCAAGGATCTGCTGTGCACAGGTATGGGGCTGTGGGCTAGGACACATAAGAAAAGATACACAGGGGCATTTCAAAGCCTAAAAGACAAACTTCATACTCTGAGAAGAACAGCATTTGGATGGCCCAGAGTAAATACTTAGAAGTGGGGAGAAAGGAGAGGATTGCACCAGCTTTCTGTATCCATTCATCTGTTGATGGACATTTGGGTTGTTTTCACCTCTTGGGTATCATGAAGAATGCTACAATGTACATGTGAGTGCAGATATACCTTTCAGAACCTGACTTCAATTCTTTTGGATACATTTCCAGAAATGGGATTGTTTGATTATATGGTAGTTCTATCTAATTTTTTGAGGACTCTACATACTGAAGTTTTTAATTTTGATAAGCCTATTTTATCTATTTTTTCTTTCATTGCTCATGCGTTTGATATATCTGAGAATCCATGGCCAAATCCATGATCATTGAAGATTTACCTTTATGTTTTCTTCTCAGAGTTTTATGATTTTAGCTCTCATATGTAGGTTATTGCTTCATTTTGAGTTAATTTTTGTGTATGGTATGAGGTAGGAATCCACCTTCATTCTTTTACATATGATTATCCAGTTCCCCAGCCCCATTTGTTGAAAAGATTGCTTGCTTTCTTTCTTGAATGGTCTTGGTACCCTGTTGAAAATCAATTGGCCGTAAGCTATATGGCCAATTCTGTTCCTGTGGTTTGCATGTCTATTCTTATGCGGATACCACACTATTTTGATTATGGTGGCTTCAGGGTAAGTTTTGAAATTGGGAAGTGTGGTTCTTCCAGCTTTGTTTTTCTTTTTCAAGATTGTTTTGATTGTTTGGGGCCTCTTGCAATTTTATATGAATTTGAGGATCAACTTTTAGTTCTACAGTTCACTGTTATTTATTGATGAGTAATATTTTATTGTGATAATACACCAGTTGGTTTATCCAGTCTCCTCTTAGTATATTCTATTGATGGAGAATGGATTAGCACGTGTACTCTTTTCTTAAATCTGTGTTCTCTCTGTCATGTTCACTGGGACTCGGGGTTTTGCTGTATGAGCTCTAATTTGAGTGAATTTATTCCTCACAAGCATTTGTTTCTGAGGAACCAGTGGTTTTTTTGGCCACTTCTTTTATATTCCAGCTTTAGAAAATAGTGTGTTTTCAAGGCACAATATTCTCTATTCATGATTTTTATATATTTTATGAAAAAAAATCAGTTTGAAACTGTTTTGCAAATAATTTATTGTCTTTGTTCGCAGGTGCCCTTTTTATCTCCTTTGGAAGGTCATATTTATTTAAAAATAAAATGTCAGGTGAATTCAAGTGTTGAAGAAAGAGGTTTTCTAGTAAGTAATCTATATTTGTTCTCTTTTTTCTGTTTGTGAAGAGTAGACTTGATTCCCACACATGAAATCCTGTGTGATAAGTAGAAATTGGTTCCCCGAAGATTTGTCGCGTGTCCCTCTGTGCCCATCACTGTGCTGGTGTGGGCACGTAGTAGGTCTGGAACTTGCGGTTTAGCAGGGGAAGGACGACACTGTGCTGTGGTAGGAGGCAGCACAGTGCCTACGTGTTGCTACATGGTGGGATGTCAGCTCTTGAGTCTGGGTAGGGAGCCTAAAGGAAGCTGCTGGAAGAAGTAACTTGTAACCACGGAGTAAGAGGGGAAAGTGCTCGAGATAAAGAGGGGGTGAGCTGTGGCCGAGGGCCCCTCCCTCCCTCTCCCCACTGAAGGAGAGGGGCAGTCTTTGGTAGTGGCGGGCATTGCAGGGACGGGCATTGCAGGGAGCTGGAGCTTGGCATTTGAGTGTGTGGTGGGGGGAGGGGCACGAGGCGCGCGCCCAGGGGGAAGTGGGAGCTGTTAAAGGGACCTCTGAAGAATTTGGGCTTACCTGAAGCCAGTGGGTAGTCTTAGAGGGTTTAAGCCGAGGAGTGACATGAGATTTCGGGTTTAGAGACGTCATTCTGACTGCCATGTGGGAAGGGGATTGGAGGGGCGGCCCTGAAGATGTCTGGTGAGGAGCCTGAGTTTCTCCTGGAAGTGCTTTTTCCCGGAAATGTTTTATTGTGGAAATTCGCAAATGTGCAGGAATTTTACAGTGAATACCCACATACATTTTTTAATACCCTTTATTATATGTCTACTACTTAACCATCCTTTAGCTACTGCTGAAAATATATTTGGGGGAAAGAATTTCAAAGTATATTGTAGATATTAGCATGTTCCCCTAAATCCTAAGTGTATATCCTCTGAGTTTTGACACATGTGTATGTCTGTACCCCAAATTTTAATTAAGATATAAAACATTACACCAGAAAGTTCCCTCATGCCCCTTGCCAATCAATTCCTACCCAGGGTGGGAGGTTTTAATGAATGAAGTTTTAATTTCAATTTTAGGTGCCTAGAGAGATAGGTTTCAAAGGTCTGGGTTTGGAGTTCAAGATAGACCTTTTGTCCGAGATGAGATTTGGAACTCTGCAGCTTAGAGACGGTAATGAGGCGCAGGGGGAGGTGAGCAACGCAGACTTCCAGGGACCCGAGCATTGGAGGGACCCTAACATTCAAACCGCAGACCTAGGAAGGGGAGCTCCGGAAGGACATTCCGGGGCAGCGGCGAGTGTGTGTTGTGGCTGCCCCGGCAAGAGAGCAAGTCAGGTGAGGTAGGGTCTGCTGGAGCCTTGAACTCACCAGGCGGGGGCCCTCAGGCTCAGGGAGCAGAAGCTGGGCTGCAGATGGAGGGGAGGGGAGGGGAGGGGAGGGGAGGGGAGGGGAGGAGGGCGAGTGCGAGCATCTCTGAACAGTTTGGCTGCAGGGGCAGAAGGAGAGTGTGGGACTTGTCAGAGTCTTCAGGATTTGGTTGATATTTTACTAGTCTCAAAAAGATTTGAATCTTCAAATACAATTGAGTAGCTTTTAATAGGGCAGACGTGGTTGGAGGTGGGGGCCGTGGGGAACCTGCACGAGGTTCAGGAAGAATTCATGGAATGAAGAAGGTCATGGGACGAAGTCAGACCCAGGCCACAGCTCACGGTCACAGGATTGATCTTATACAGAGTCACACCTCTTCCATTATCAGGAGAAACGCATGCGAGAAGGACACATGGACGGTTGTAGGGGGAGAGCAGGAGCAGAGAAACCCAGTAGCTTCGGTTTCCTTTGTGAAGCAGGAATCTGACCGAGACAGGTCTCCCCAGCGGCTGTGCACTGTGCAGGAAGGAGAGCTAGTTGCAAAAAAAGCCCAGGAGGCCAAAGGGACTGTGCACCTGGCTTCCTTGTTCACGTCTCGTGGGTGTAAAGCCAGCAGGTGGCGCTAGATATTCTTGGAAAAACCTTTTTATAATTCCTGGGTTGAAAATGGTGTTTACTTACTGACCTTATAATTTTAATGTAAATATTTTCTTTTTTTTTTATTTTTATCCTCACCCGAGGACATTTTTCCATTTTTTGTTCAGATAGAGCGGGAGGGAGAGAGAGGAAAAGAGAGAGAGAGAGAAACATCGATGTGAAGGGACACATCGAGTGGCTGCCATCCACACGACCCAACCAGGGCCGGGGACAAACTGCAACCGAGGTACGTGCCCTTAGCGGGAACCGAACCCGGGTCTCTCTGTACCGCAGGCCGACGCTCCAACCACTGAGCCAAACCGGCCAGGGCTCATATTTTATTAGAGACTTTTAGCAACTGATAGACTGTGCCAGCCAGTTCATTTGCATATAATATCTGAGCTACCTGATTTTTGAGCTGGGCTCTTTAGTTTATCTCTTCAGGCTTATCCTCTTACAGAAATGTCGTAAGAAAGGGCGCAGGACTCTCCCAAATAACCTCCCTCTCCTGTCTGATCAATGCATTGTAATGACCTCTGCCCTCTCTCAGGAATAGAGGTAGAGACTGAAGTTTAAGTTGTTCGGTTTTCCTTACTGGCAGCTGGAAGGAAGGAAATGGCCAATGAGAGAACCTTCATAAGTGGTTCTGAGATGGTCTCGTCTGGCTCCGGCTGGGCTGATGAGCACAAGAGAAGGTCATCTGAGTGCCTGCAAGGTCCCCGTTCTGCGTGGTCATTGTGTGTGGACATTTAATTTCCTTGGCCCTCAGTTTCCTCAGCTGTGAAAAGGAAAAGCTGTCCTCTTGTTATTCCTCTCGGATTACGGTGGAGTGTAATAACATGTGTTATTCTTCTCCATCAAACTTTTCCTTGTCTGTTACCTTTATGATGGGAAAGGTGACCGTAAACACAGAGGGGGCTGGTGAGTCATTTGTACTAACTTTGTCCTTGAGACTGAAATCCGATTCCTGTCTTACTTCTTGGGTGGCTGTGAGCAGGGAGCAGGTGTTGCCTAGAAAAGCTTTGGGGAGGAGAGAGGATAGACTGGGGAAGAGAGAAAAAGGTGGGGTAAGAGGACATGTGGCTGGAGTGAACTAAATAATTTGAGCTAATTAATTAAGCTAATAAATTTGAGGTTTTATCCTATCAAGGAAACACTTCTTCACACAATGTAACTTTCCCCCATGGCCAGAGATTGCACTCCTAACTCAAACCACCTTTTGATAAATTGACACAAATTAGTGGATCGAGGAGAGTGTGTATCCCACTATGGTTTGGTGTAAGGCCTCACTGAACCATTTGAAGGTGGAAGATTTCTTAATGCATTTTGAAATCAAACACACCTTTGGATTCTGTGTGTTAGGGGTCAGCAAAGTGTGCACGTTGTTTGTTTTCCTCCATGTTATTGGAGCACAGGCTCATGGATCTCCACGTGTCGTGGCTGCTTGCGCCACAGCAGCGCTGAGTGAATGGCTGTCGCGTGACGGAGCCTGGCTGGCCCAGCAGCCCAAATCTTTACTCTCCTGCCCTTTACAGAAGAAGTCAACCACCCCTCGTCTAGAGTACTGTTCAATTTTTACCTTGCTTTGTCTTCTAATATAATAGCTTCTAAAGGAATTCTTTTTAAAATTAAAAGGAAGGACTTATATAAATTAGGGCTCCATTGTGACTGTGACCAGAAAAGAGAGGGGTTGGGGGAAGCAGCTTCTGCTTACGGTGTTTAGTAGAAGTACTGCCGTGGGAAAGACCTACGTCCTTGGTTACCTGCCCCGGAGCCCTGTCCCTCCCCAGAGTGACTGCTTCCCTCCCGTTGGCGTGGAGCCTGCAGCCCTAAGGCCGCCCCCAGCCGCAGGGAGACGCGCACCCCAGTGCTGATGGCCCAGGTTCTGATGCTTATCACGGTGTCCATGGAGCCGTGTAATCACCACTTAACTCTTCTCTAGTCCTGTTTTCCCAAATAGAATATAATGTCAGTCCTCTGTATTAAATCTAAATAATAAGCTACCATCAGATTTTTAAATATATAAGACATGATATTCCCAAATCATTTTACTCTCCAACACTTGACGTACTTTTCTCTTATTTAAGGAGCGTTTGGTTAGGGATTCCATGTTTTTAAAAGTCTAATATTAGGTCGAGGTATTTATTTGGCATTAATATGAGGACATTCTTAAATGCTGTACGCTCATAAATGATGCTGAAAATCCGGGTACATTTCTGGGTGTGAGCAATCAGTGATTTTCATTATTGGGGTAAAAGACATGATGGAAACACTTTGCAAGTAGATTGTGAACTATGAAATATTTCAACATGTTGGCATTTGGCCAGTGGAATTACCATCCTCAAGTGTCTCAAGCAGTATTTCATTGACTTTTCCAGACCATATTTGAAGATGTTAGTGGTTTTGGTGCCTGGCACCGACGATGGTGCATTCTGTCTGGGAACTGCATCTCTTATTGGACTTACCCAGATGATGAGAAACGCAAGGTAAGGTCACGAGCACTGGTCGGCGGCGAAGGCCCTGACTGACCGCCTGGTGCTCGCCCAGACGTCCCCTCTCCCGCCACCACCCAGTCCCCTTGCTTACTGAGCCATTGAATGTTCTTGTTGCAAGACGTGTGTGCGTGCATGTGTGTGTACGTGCATTCGTGTAAAATTTTATACTTTATCCATTCCCTGCGATTTGACAACTCAAAATATTTATCTTTCTTCCCTCCTAGATTGTTGCATAATATTTTTAATTGACATTTTTAGTCAGAAATATATTAAATTTACTTTTGTATTATTGTAGCCATGTAAAATTTTACATAAATTTATTGTGAAATGTTTAGAATGGTCAAAAAGACTATCCGTCATCCTCTGTTATCAGCCCAGCTGAAGGTCCCCATGTAATTTTCTCTCCCCTAGAGAGGTGAGCCCTATCCTGAAGTTTTGTTACTACTTATTTCTTTACTTCTTATTATGTATGTATTCATTCCGAAGCAACATGTTACCGCAGTTGCATGTTTAAACGTTACACATAGTAGCATGCTGCAGGGAGCATCTGCAGCTCGCAGTGGGTGAGAGCTCTGTGCGTTGTGTGCAGCTCTAGTGTGTGCGGCTCCTGCCGTCTCTCTGTCCCAGTCTGATTGATGAGCCTTTAGATTATCTCCGAATTGCTGCTGTCATGCACAGCAGTGCTGTGACTCGGCTTCCTGTAGGGTGAGCGCTCTTCATTGAGTTTGTCCCTAGTGGCAGATTTGCTGGCTGTAGGGTTTGCAGATCCTCAGCCCAGATGTGTTCATCGTATGATTCCTGAAAGTGGTTACACAGTGTTCTGTTCCCACCAGGAGAGTTCTCAGTGTTCCACATCCCCACCGACACTTGACACACCAGCCTTTTAAACTTTTGACAGATTGGTTGCCTCCCGCACAACCCCGACCAGGGCCGGGCATCAAACCTGCTACTGAGGCACGTGCCCTTGACCAGGAATCAAACCTACGTACGACCCTTTGGTCCAAGGGCTGACGCTCGTACTGCTGAGCCAAACTGGCCAGCACACACATGAACATTGTTTACAGATGAACAACATGTCCAGGTTTCTGTGTACAGGGGGGGAGGAAGGGAATGGGTTGCAGACCAAAGGAGGTTGGCGTGTGTTTCTAATTGTTAAAGCTGGTAGAGGGGTACATGGAGCATTATTAGACTGTTTCTGGTTTTTTAATTTTTTATCTGTTTGAAGTTTTCCATAAAAGAGTTTATGTTTTAATCTGGCTAAGAGCTCTAGTTGACATCTCTGGTTTTTATTTTTATGTCTCCTTACAATAGTTTTTATTATTAAGAAACAATAATATACAGGATGGGGCAAAAGTAGGTCTACAGTTGTATGAGAAACCGTTTATTCTTATATTCTTTAAAAAAAAAAAATTTTTTTTCTTTATTGATTTGAGAGAGAAAGGAATGGAGAGGGAGAGAGAGAGAGAAACATCGATGAGAGAACATTCATTGGCCGCCTCCTGCATGGCCTCACTGGGGATCGGGCCCACAACCTGGGCATGTGCCCTGACCAGAAATCTAACCAGCGACCTCTTGGTGCCTGGGTCGACGCTCAACCACTGAGCCACACTGGCCGGGGCTATTCTTGTATTTTTATTTATTAATTATTGTATTATTTTCCAGATGAACACCTCTAAACCTACTTTTTCCCTGCCCTGTATATTACCTATGTTTCTCTAAACCCAGTGTAGTTACATTATTTTTCCAGTGTAATTAAATTTTAAGTTAATACAAACTTAAATACTGCTTAATGCTTATTGACTTAAATGGTCTTGTTGATTTTCTGCTAATACTTTTTTAAAAATTTGTTTTTAAAGAATCCTATGGGAAGGATAAATCTGGCCAACTGTACCAGCCGCCAGGTAGAACCAGCCAACAGAGAATTCTGTGCGAGACGAAACACTTTTGAATTAATCACTGTCCGACCGCAAAGAGAAGATGACCGAGAGACTCTTGTGAGCCAGTGCAGGGACACGCTCTGTGTCACCAAGTACGTATCGGGCTGTAAATGTTTCTGTCAACAAAGGAGTTAATTGTCCACTGGGTTCTCGCCATTGTAAGAAACATCAGAGATAGTCCTTAGTCCTTGTCTTTAAAGTGGGTATAGTCTTAAACAAAACACACAAACTGTCCTTAAGAGAACAATCTGATAACTAAGTTAATACCGTTAAGAAAAGCATGACGTTCAGGCTGTATCTCAGCTCATCATTTTTCAGTGTATTCTCAGTGTAGCCGTTTTCAAGGCAGCTAGCTGTCTGGAGATTTCGTGTACAATTGGGAAGTCAAGTATTACTTAAAGAGTATTTGGAATAAAGTATTATTCCAAAATGCCCTTGATTGAGCAGGTGACTTACAAACAGTTGTTCTGCTCTGCAAATTTCTGGTTGGAGATGAACAGAATCAACTACTAGGGGTATCACCATTTGTTAATCTGAAGCTTATGTACAAGATGCAAAAGCTTATTGTCAACAGTATAAGATTCTTTTGCCTGGACGCCCAAGAGAAGCTTGAAGACCAACTTCAGCGTACAAAGTGGTGATCAGGGACAAAGGTTCGAGGGGGACACAGTCTCCGTGGAGGCTGCTCTGGGATGGGACAGGCGCCGGCCTTTCCGGTGTGGCCCGCCGGAGCGCCAGCCAGACACCACCGTAACGCCACCACCTTCCTGCCGCTTGGCTACAGCAGCCGGCAGGGGACCCGATCTCCGGAAGGTCGGTGTCTAGATCACTTCCGTGAGTTCAGTTAACTCCTCCCTCCTTTCCTTCGGGGGCCTCCGTGCAGGGCTGGCAACAGACAGGACAGAGGGCCCAGTGGCTTTGTCAGGTCAGAGTCTGGGGGAGCCAACCAAAATTCAGGGGTTCCTCACCACAGTGGCCCATTTTAGCCCTGTTAAATGTTACATTTTCCTTTTTTTTTTTTAATTTTTTTTTTTGTTTTTTTTTATCCTCACCCGAGGACATTTTTCCATTTTTTGTTCAGGTAGAGTGGGAGGGAGAGAGAGGAACAGAGAGAGAGAGAGAAACATCGATGTGAAAGGGACACATCGAGTGGCTGCCACCCGCACAACCGACAAGGGCCGGGGACAAACTGCAACCGAGGTACATGCCCTTAGCGGGAACCGAACCCGGGTCTCTCAGGACCGTAGGCCGACGCTCTAACCGCTGAGCCAAACCGGCCAGGGCTAAATGTTACATTTTTCATGTAGTCTCATCTCCTATCTGCTAACAAGCCCTCCCCGACTTCTTGGCCTTGTCCTGCAGTAGAAGTGGCTAGATCACATGTCGCTCTGTGACTGTGTACTTCATTTGCATGTGGTTTTCTCATCATAACATGATCGTGACTTGAGTGGGCACTTCTTTCTCCAAGCATTTGAGATTGGTGCGTTCTTGCTTCGGTCCTGGCTGAGTCTTCAGGTTTACTTGGTGGCTTCTCAAAACTTGTTTGGGTCATATATTTAGTAAAATATCAACATTTTACAGTTCTACATTCTCCTTTGCCTCACTTAACTGTTTCCACACAGGGCCTTTTATCTACATTTAATATCTCATTTTTATTTCCACTAACCAACCTTGCTACCTTTCTCTCCTTCAACACAAACGATTTCTCTTCTGGTTAGTATTATTCCGTGGGCGTTGGGAGCTGACAGACCTCGGTGAAGGCCTGACTCTGACTTACAGATGTAACCATGGCCAGTTAACGTTGCTGGCCCTGTGCATTCTCCTGTGTGGAAAGGGAACCCCCCCCCCCCCCCCATGACACTAGAGAGTCAGGAGTAGACAGGCTAGCACAGTGTCAAGAAGCACTTGGAGTGAACTCTGCAACTGCCCACTGTGATACTGTGACCGTGTCCTTCTCTGACTGACAGCTGGTCCGCTCACACGCCGGCCATGTCTGGTACCAGTGGCGGGAAACTGGACAGGTGCTGAATGAGGACAGTATGAAAACCTTGTCAGCAACTGTCTGCTTCCAGGAGAATGGTCTGGCTTAGGGTTAGGGACCCCCTCCCCCACCCTCACCTGCCCCGTCAGGGGGTTACTCCACTTGTAGCTAAATCCGGTTTCTGAAGTGGACAGAGAGGTCAGGATAGACAGTCTTAGGATCTTTAGTTCATTTATTGTAATTAGCATGTTCTACTAACACAGGAGCACAAACATGATGGGAGACAGGACGGCACAGTGTCACCTGTAAAGCCAGGTGAAGGTCCAAGAACCTGTGATTCAGCCCCTAGGGAGCCTGAGCCCGAGTCTGAGGGCTGGGCCGCGCCCAGGTGTAGGCCTGTGCTGTGCCTGCTCTTGCTAGGAAGTGACCCACTCAGTGGGTGGCCCACATCACCATTTTGCCCAGGCCAGACCACTGTGTAAGATAGTCGCCATGTATGGTGTAGAAACGTCGTTTACCAAGCATCATCAGTGTGACCTGTGATTCAGCTACCAGTCTGCGGGGTCTTTAAAAAGACTGTAATTGAAGAAGCATCTCCCTGTGGGGCTTTCAGTCAGCATCCATCTAAAGGGGACAGAGGAACTCATGTAACTGGTTCGCTTAGGTTTCCTCCCCTAGCGAGGTACAGGGAGCTGTGCGGGTGGAAAGGGGCCTGAGCATGTGCTTGTTTGCCCTGCAGGCACTGGCTGTCTGCAGACACCAAGGAGGAGCGGGATCTCTGGATGCAGAAACTCAATCAAGTTCTTGTTGACATTCGTCTCTGGCAGCCTGACGCCTGCTACAAGCCTCTCGGAAGGCCCTGAACTGTGGGGAGCTCCAGGCATCCGGAGGCTTGTTGGAGCCATGTACCTTAGGAGCATTAGCTATGCCAATTGCAGTTCATGCTTTAAAAATGAAAGGGTATGTGCCAATATTCAATACATGTTATGCAGTATTTATATCTTTTGTTTGTAAAACTTCAACTGATTTCTCTTCTGTCATTTATTAATTTAAAAGTCTCATTTTCCTAGCGGTCTGAGTATTTAGTTATTCATAATGTTTTGTGTTTTTAAGTAAGAAAATGGAAGTTGTCTTCTTGGAGCTGTGGGTCTCAAAAGTAGAGAGGTCTTCCGGAGTCAGAGGTCACTCTCTCGTTAGCCTCAGTACCTTTTTCCTTAGGTTGTGGTCCTTTATTGGATATAACTTGTTATTATTGCACTGAAAAATTTCTGAGGAACTTTACAGAAGTAGTTTTAGTGGTGGAGGTGAGGGCTTTCTCACGCAGCGAATGCACAGCAGTTTAAAGCTTGAGGCTTTGAACAGGAAATGTGTACTTAGGGGCCCTAGGGAGTTAAATGTTTTGTTTAGAATACAATAATCAAATGGTTTACGTTGCTCACTGACTACAGATGCTGCATGGTGCACATTTCCATCAAATGTAGGCTTTTAAAAGTAATTATTTTTACTCTAGCTAACAGACTCCTTAAATATACTCGGCGCACTGGTTTCTTTCTGTCCCTGTAACAAGAACAGATGTAAATGGGAGTTTTTACATAAGAAAGTAAACTTTACAAGCTGCTGTGGACTAATACTTTGCTTGCCAAAGTTCTGGACGCTTTTACTTTTCGTGTCTAGAAATCCATTATGCTTATGAAATCATTTGAAACATTGTTAAGTAATGTATTTCTTTAAAAGACACTTTACTTTTTGTTACAGACTATTGTAAAGCATTATCTCAAACTCAAGCACAGTTTGACTTTCCTCTCCGAGTTGTTCAAGTTATTGATGATCTCATAAACACTAAATTCTGTCACCTGTCATTTACAGTTTATTCGTTTAAATGTGTTTTTTCTTATGTGTATTATAAAAATGTATTTTATGATCTCTTACCTAAATAAACACTTTAGATGGCGTGAGGAGTCCTGTTCACACGTGTGGTGTGGCTGCCCCGCTCCCAGGCTGTGGGCGTCTTGAGAGTGTTTTCCTGCCAGTGTCTCTCATCCTTTGTCTGTGTCCCAGGGCTAGACTCACTGTGTGCTCTAGGGCTGCTGTTGAATGAGTGAGTGGATCGGGGGTGAGCAGGGTCGCTGTTGAGTGATGGACGACATTTCCATGTGGTCCCTGATGTACATTTAAAGGATGGAGGATGATCCCCCGGTGTGTAGCAGAGACTGAGTGAAGAAGGGACATCACCGGCCACAACAGCAGGTTTGGGGGGATTGATGAGAGGGTCCCCTGTATTTATTTATAGACTTGTGTTTAACATGTCATGGTACAAACTGACAAGGCGCAAGGTGAGAAGGCAGGTGCAGCCCCCAGGCAGTGCAGAGCCCCGCCCTGGCTTCTGTGACTCTCCTAAACTACAGAGGAGCTAGAAGGCCCCCAAATGCCCGGGGCTCATCATGTATAAAAGGTGGGTGGAACCTGGGCTCTGGGCTCAGCCTTTGGAGGGGACTCTGCTGGGACACACCGGTGCACATTTAACAGTCATTTTCCAGTCCCCCGAGTGCGTGCAGTCTGTCTCTTCCCGCCGACCCAACTTCTGCCCCAGCAAAGGAAGTTAATGTGAAAAGTGTGTCTTCCCCACTGACGCAACCCCTTTTACCGGTGATTGTGTTCTCCCAGGAGAGTCCGTGCATGTTACATAGATACAAATTCATTTATTCCTAAAAAATACTCCATACATACTGTTTGTTGTAAGTTAAAGGATAAAAGCATAGCAATATCCCTTAGTATATATAACGGATATATACAATTAAGTTTTGGAAGAAATTTAAGGTGATTGTGGACCATGGCGATGGAAATACCTTGCCAACAGTGGAAATCATGCTCACAAGATCCCAGTGTCATCTGCCTGGGGGGTCGTTGGAGCCACTGGAGCGGCGAAGACTGTCCGAGGATGCGCCCTGGCACAGGGGCGAGGGCGGGAGGAGCACGAGCTTTAGGGGAACCCGAGAAGGAGTGGCTGTCGACTCATCCACGAAGGGAACCCTAGCGACGTCTGAGACCAAAGAGGAGTCCGAAGATTCTGACCACAAACTCAGAAAATGGGAACTGAAATTTGGAGCCGTCAGTTCAATAAAGTGGTTCAGGTAAAAATCCAGGTTTAATAAATACCTATAAAGGAAAAAATGGCAGGTATGATTGCATGAAAAGCAGAATCCTGCCTGACAAATGTCTTATCAACAAAACGAGCAGCAGACTAGGAGAGAATATTCACAACGTACTTAATAATCAAAGAATCAATATGCAAACTCGATGAAGAGCCCCTGTACTTGGGTGTCACCGAACATTTACTATGCACCAGGCGATATGCTTGCCCGTCTGCATGGATTATCTCATAATCTCACGCCCCTATGAAACAGGCATGGAATGGGGAAACTAAAACGTAGGTACTGTACTTTTTCTGAGGCCACACGCTTAGCAAGTGCAGACCAGGATGCCAACCCAGAATCCACATACTTCATCATATTATGATGCTTTTCAAATTAATAAATTTTAAACTAAAAGAGCGACAAATAGTATTAGCAAGAAACACCCACACCCACATGCACACTCACATCCAAAGGGCCAACAAATGCAAAAATGATACTAATGAACAGAAGAACACACAGTTAAACAGTGGGTTACTGGCCCTCACATTGGTGAAACTAGAGTCAGTGCTGCTGAGAAACAAACTCATACTCCTGATGAGCGTCGGGACTGATTTGGCCTTTTTGGATGGCAACTTGGCAACCTCCAGTAATCTCTGCTAACACACGGAATCAGCTTCTCAAACTGATTCGCACACATCAGAGATCTCACCCATATAAAGATTTACCCATAGCCCTGGCTGGTTTGGCTCAACGGTTAGAGCATCGGCCAGTGGACCAAAGAGTCGCTGGTTCGATTCTGGTCAAGGGCACATACCTCAGTTGTAGTTCTTCCCGGCTCTGGTCGAGGTCGTGGGGGAAGCAGCCAGTCGATGTGTCTCTCTTACATCAACGCCCCCCCCCCCCCAATGTAACAGAAGATATTTGAAAAAATACCCTTGGGTGAGGATTAAGAAAAGATTTACCCATAATGTCAAGGCACCGGCGAAGCAGGGTGATGAACTGTGCAACGTCCTGAGCACCTCCCAGGCCGCCCACCCGCGGCGGGTGGGCCCCTCCCACGCCAGGAGCCCTTAGGTGAGGAAACGTGGCCGTTTCATACCCAGGCGGCTGCACTGCTGGTGTGACTCAGGGCTCCAGCCTCACGGATCCACGGATTCCAAGTGGATCGACCACAGCCGCCCTCAGCAGCGCCACTCAGCAAGTGCACCCCACAGACGAGATCCGGGAGGCGGCGTCTCTTACCGGGGGTCCGGTGTTCGCACATTCACAAGGAATTCAGAGCACCTGCCTTCCTGCCCCCGAACGAAGACCAGCTGCTTTGAGTCCTGCCTCCCACTCGGATGCCTGGCGGGGGGGCACAGGTGAACCCACAGGGATCATTACGATACCGTTGAAAGGGAAACAATAGCAATAACCTGGAAGTCCTCCACAGGGAAGCTCGTTAGAAATAATCCACCTGCCAGTTCACAGGAAACGGGCCCCCACCACGGAGCACCAGGCGATGCTCGGGAAGAAGAAGCAATGCGGTCCCAGGACAGCCTGTGGGAACGGTGTGCCGTTCAACAGGAACCGTGTCTGTTCGTGTGAACAAGCGGGCCTTATCGGAGGTCTCCCTCCCAGCGGTTTCGGTTACCGCTGTCCACAGCAGGCCGAAGACATTCAGTGGAAGATTCCAGAAGTAAACAATTCGCAGGTTCTCAGATGCGTGTCCTCTGGGTGGTCTGAACTCTGCTGTTCCCCCCTCCCTGGAGGGGACGCGTCCCTGCAACAGGCCCACCTGTTCCTTAACCTGCTTGCATCTCCGCGATCGGGTCGCCGATCACAGTGCTTGTGTCCGAGGAGCCCTGTTTGACTTAGCAGTGGCCCCAGAACACAAGAGTAGTGACGCTGGTGACTCGGACATGCCACAGAGAGGCTCCCAAGTTCTTCCTTTAAGGGAAAAGGGAAAGTTCTCGACGTCACAAGGAAAGAAAATAATCGCACGCCGAGGTCGCTGAGGTCTATGATAAGAGCAAATCTCGGTGAAATTGAGAAGGAGAGTGAGGCTCATGCCAGGGTCCCTGTGGCACCCCCAGCTGCACAAGCGGCGCCCACTGCACGCCAAGGCTTAGGGGAGTTCCACGGGGGGGGGTGGGCGAGCAGAAAACGTTCTTGGGCTGGGGGACCTCTGTCCAGACAAGGGCCATTTGGATATTGACGACATCATTCGCGGGCCACACAAAATGACCAACTTAAAAATTAGCCTGCCATGTTGGGTCAGACTAGTTTGGTGGGCGTGTGATGTGAGCTGGTACTGATTTCGGGGGCCTTATACGGCCCGCGGGCCGGACGGTGCCCAGCTAGAGACGTTAATAACGGTTTCTCTGAAACGGTGACACCAAGCCAGTCACGGCAAGTCCGGGATGGGGACACAGACTCAGGACCAGGTTTGGACTGAGAAATAGAAAAATCACTGGAGGGTCTGCAGCTGCATCTCCGGCAGCGTGGAAGTACCTGGAACTCCTGCAAACCAACACTGAATGTACACGGGAACTGAAAACTAAAATGGAAAGAAGTGGGTTAAGGAGAAAGGACACTTCCCAAAGCGAGCCTTCCATTGCCAGGAAACCGGGCTCGTCTGCAAGCCGCCGTCCAGGGGAGCCCACACTCATGGCCTGCAGACAAGGCACCGGACAGCAGCCGTGGGCGGGCAGATGGCCGCTGGCACTTGGTGGCAGTGCTGCAGAGGGGCCGCCGCTGTCCCGGCCACACGGTCAGAAAGCATGGCGGCAGCATCCTGTTTGTGAGGGGTCCCCCCAGCGCATCGCAACAAGGTGAGTGCAGAACAATAAGATCTTTTTTATTGTTTTTATTTATTAATTTGTTTTTGTTACAGATGTTTCTCATTTTTCCCCCATTGACAGCCTCTTCCCCTCCCCCCCGCCTAATCCCCAGTTTTGTTGTCTATGTCCATTGGTTATGCACACATGCATGTAAGTTCTGTGGTTTGTCTCTTCCCCCCAACCCCCCTCCTCTGAGGCTTGTCAGTCTGTACCCCACTTCTATGTCTCTGGGTTAATTTTGTGCAGCAGTTTATTTAGCTCATTATATTCCACAAATAAGTGAGATCATGTGATATTTGTCTTCCTCTGCTTGGCTTGCAGAACAATAAGATCTTTTGAGAGAGGAGAAAGAGAGACCACCTTCACGTAACTTTTATTGCAGTATATCGTTAAAATTGTTCTATTTTATTATTAGTTATTGCTAATCTCTTACTGTGCCTAATTCGTACAGGAAACATGATCATAGGTATGTATGTCTAGGAAAAACATAGTATATATAGGACTTTGGTACTATCCGTGGTTTCAGGCCTCCAAGGGGGAGGGGGCTTGGAACATCTCCTCTGTGAATAAGGATGCTACTAGAGCAAAGTGTGGGTGAAACACACCACAGTTTATATGAGAAAGAGCTATGGAAAGTGTTGGGACCAGTGTTGGGTGGAGGAATGCTTTGACTTAAAAATTTTATATGAGCTTTTTATTTATTTTTTGTTAAGACCTATATATATACAAGGGAACTATGGAGGGGAACATTTACTTGAGGAAATGGAATAATCCAATTCCACATATCACAGAGCATTAGGCGATCCAGACATTTCATATGGTTTCACTTAAAAATTCAAGACCGATAGCCCTGGCCGATTTGGCTCAGCGGTTAGAGCGTCGGCCTGCGGTCCGGAGAGACCCGGGTTCGGTTCCCGCTAAGGGCACGTACCTTGGTTGCAGTTTGTCCCCAGCCCTGGTTGGGTCGTGTGGGTGGCAACCACTCGATGTGTCTCTTTCACGTCGATGTTTCTCTCTCTCTCTCTCCCTCTCACTCTATCTGAACAAAATATCGAAAAATGTCCTCGGGTGAGGATAAAAAAAAAAAAAAAAAAAAAAATTCAAGACCGATAACTATCATCAGTGTTATCTAGATAAGCAACGCTCTGGTGTGGACTCTATTCCTAGAATATTTAATATGTTTA